CATTTAACCAGTTTTCAATGCTTCATCATTCTAAACTAGTGAGGGCATCTGGAGTTATGAATCACATCCATGTCCACTTGAATGTCTTCATCTTGTGTTTTATACTATATATGCAACCTGCAGTCTATATTATATGCAGCAGATATATCTCTGACAACTAATAGTGATAAATGCACTTAATACCAAATGCAAGCCAGGAATCTGTATATGTAGTCATTTCTCTAGCTTATTGTTGTAGCAGGCCTAGTTTGGAAAGACTGCCTTCTTCCATAAACTACAATTTGAGCAAATAATTTAGAGCAAAGACTTGTCTTACTCAGGACAGTATAATGGAATGCATAGTGATAGGAGTAGAAGCAAAATTCAGCATAGCATCACAAACAGCCCCTTTGCACACAAATTACTAGTCATTCAGCCTCCATCAACCACCCCCACCAATTACTGATAATCTACCATCATGACACAGTACTGAAAGTACTAATCAAACTCCAGTCTTTGATGAAGCAACAGAATGGTATCACAGAGAAAAGGATATGAAGGTTACCAAAAGCAGTTCAGAGTGCCTGTATAATCCAATTTTCCCAGGATTTACTGTACTCAAGGGCAGAACTGAACTAAAACATTTCTTCCCAAGTATGATTCACATTCCCTGGATCCTCATATTTTGCCTACAAACAATCTTTTGGACAGGAAATGAATGACCAACATTCCAATCATAAAAGTCAGGCTATTCCATGTCCAAATGCTTAGAACATCTGTCTATAGAAAGTTTAAGCCCTACCCTGAGTAAGTAATTTGAACTATATTATTGTTTTAGGCAACCACTGGAGATGGCAATATATGTGCCAGTTGTAAGAAAAGCAAACACATGTACAAAGAGTCTATAGAAGCCATAATCTAGCCATAATTTTCTGTAGATAATCAAGTCAAAAATTTCAGGGCAATTTAATGAGCAATAAAACATAACAAAGTACTAAAAAGTATAGACACAATAGTACAATGGATACGAAGGTATTTCTCATGTATGAATACTTTCAATGAGTACAGGAATGGACGACCAGGATTATAATAACTAACAATATTTATATTCCAGTTTGCTACACTCCCAATCATTTATATGTTAGGCATTCCTATGTAGAGATGACAATGACTGTAGAAATAGTACTTTGACCTTTCTTGTTGTACTGTGGCCATTAGGTGGTGATAGGGGACTGCTGTTGGGCACCTGAGTCTTGTCAATCAATATGAAACAAGATTATCTGGCTGGAATTTGGTGTTTGTAAAAAAGTTGTGGATACATGGGAGTAAACTTGAACTTGGGTTGCTCTCAAGCTATGTATTCTGTCTCCCTAGCAATGTACAAAATCTTCTATCCCCAGAGATAGAATATTCCATGAAAGTCCAAAACATTCAATTTTTCTCCAGATCATGTAAATCTATGGTAAAAAGGTCCCAAAACATCTGGAAGTGCCATAAAAAAGCCAATTTCCATTCCAGAAGATTTACTTCTAGAGAACTGGTAGATGACTTCAGAATGGCCAGATCTGCATAGTCCAGAGGAAGGGAACATTTCAGAATTCTCCCCCCGCACCCCCCCCCAAAAAAAACAGCCTCCTCTGGAGAGAGATTATTTTTTGCACGTCCATAAATCTTATTCTGCTGTTAGAAAAGGAACAAAGAACTTCCTCATCAAGTAGGCCTTTTTAGCCTGAACTGATTTTGACTTCTTTTCTTGTTCAACAACCACACAAATAGAAAGGAAGTATACTAAATCAACCAATAGTCAAATACTGAATGATTAGCTTTAAATATTTAATTAAATAATTAGTCTTCATTAATGAAATTAACTGATGGTAGACCATTAATCATTTTCTGCCTTTCTGCTTCTGGGTGGGGTCAAAATAATTAAAAATTCATTCATATTAAGCTAAAATTAATCCTGCTTCCCTTTGGTGGGAGGAACTCATTCTGTACAGGACATTTTAGCAGTGGTTTATGATATCAGCAGCAATCACAGTAATATTTTAGGATCCCATTTGGGTGCCAGTCTTGTTGACATTTGTTGACATCACTTCCTTTCTTTATTTTTCATCACCATAATATATGACATTATTTTTGCTTTATTTTGCCTAATATATGTAGCAATCCTTTCATCCTTTTCTCAATGCACATTAAACCATATGGAGACAAAAAAAAAAAAATGAGTGTAAGGTTGTGATTAGCAGTAGTATAACTATTTTGCAGGTGCTAACTTGATTATGCATATTGTCTTAGTATTGTATTTAAAATTCAGAACTGTCCTCAGCTCAGAAAGACCAGAAAGTCATATATATCTGTCCTTTTAATTACAAGCATTTTTTCTAACTATAAAAATTATATCTGTTCCACTGTTTTTAACTTCATTAAAAAGCTGTGAGATGAAGGAGAGAGTGAGGTATTCAACTCTCCTTTGCAGAACATTAATTAAATAATCAATTTTATGAATAATTAAACATGCCCTAGGCATCTATTTACAAAACACTATTCACAAATGCCATGGAATAGAGACTCAAGTAATATATTAACTAAGAATATATTCCAATGACTTATCTTGATTATATAATGACACCATTGGATATTTTCAGTACAAATAGCATCTGTGGCTTAGTATTTTCAAAACACTGCCAATTGCACGGTTTGAATTATACATCTGTGCAGTGAAAAGCAGCAATGGTACAATGCAAGTTATTTGGGTTATTTAAAAAGTCTCAAATCAAATTTGGGGAATGAATAAGACGTGTTAGCTCTCTGATGAGATAAGTCTAAATCTGGAGTGTATTAGAAGACATCATTATCGAGTAAAAGTAAATAGCATTTGCTATATATGCCATTAAACTCCTCTATTATTTTGGTACACTTCTGAATGTTTAGTCTCATTTCTGTTTCATATAAACTAGTCCCCACTGCATTCTGCCAATCTGTTCCAGGGAATGTCTCAAACGGATGAGATGGTATAAGTAATATCACACTAACTGAAATGTATGTTGAATTCGTGCATGCCTTAGAAATTCAAACTGTAAAACAGCACCTGGTATTACCCCAGAATTATTTTTTTTTAAGTACATATGTTCCCCAAATTCACCAGGCAATCTTAACAAAGTGGAAATTTAACAAAGTCAATCAACTTTCACCGTACATCGTTCAACATAATGCTTTTGGTGCAGCCATTAGCATACACTATCCTCCCCTAAAATTCTTTGAATAGCTAATTTAGCTGTGCAGTACTTTTATCACATGTGGGAGCATGAATGTAGCACCTGTTTTCAATATCTTAAAGCAGCTATTTCTTTTCCTGGAATGACTTGCAGCATAGCTGCTTTCCCAAGCATGGACATTGGGGGGTTAGTTGAGCCCAGTTGAGTTGGTTGCTTGTGTCCTCAACTGCCATATTAAGTCTGTTCCATTCTGGTTATTGTTTTTACATTGTTTGGTTTGTACTGTTTTTGAATCTTGTTAGCTACACAGAGTCATGTTTTTAAGCTGGATGACCTTATAAATCAATTAAAATAAATAGCAAAAAAAAAAAAAAAAGGAGGATCACCAAAATCAACCCAAAATTGCATTTTGATGATGATGGAGGAATATCAAATCACTGTCAACTCTTAGCAACAACATAGCTTTTCTCTAGAATGATCTGCTTTCAACCTGATCCTTCAATCTTCTAACAGTGCACCCATCCCCACTGTAACTGAGTCCACCTTGTGGCTGGTTGTCCTCTGTTCCTCTTTCATTCCACCTTTCCCAGTATTACAGTCTTCTCTAGAAAGCTAGGTCTTTGCCTAATGTGTCTGAAGTAGGATAATTTGAGCCTGGTCATTTGTGACTCATGAGAGAACTCTGGATTGCTGTTCTATGATGCATTTGTTTGTTTTCTTGACTATCCATGGTATTCTAAGGAGTCTTCTCCAACACCAAAATTAGTTTCACAATTACATTAATAGGTCCCTCTATTTCTCAGAGGGTTATATTTCTACCAAACCGATACCTCTGACACCAGTTTCAAAAGCAAGAATATTCTACAATATGCAAATTCAAAGAATAATAGAAGAACACTTAGAATAGACTATATAAATATGCAATTGATTTACTGTAGAGAGTTTTCATATTGAGCACTAAAGCATATTTATTTAGCGATTTAGTAATTTAACTACTTGCCCCCCAAAAAGTGGACTTGGAAATTATGGAGTTCAAATCTGCCAAATTCTAGCTTTAGTTAAGATGGTATAGGAACAGCATTGAAACTCAAACACAAGGAGCATTCTTATTTGAAGGAATGATTGAAGCCAATTATATTTAACATTGTTTCCTTGATTCACTACTATGTTTTCAAGACTAGTTGCTTAGAATTACTGACAGTTTTGACACTAGACATCCATATAGCTTTTCCACTTTTAGCAAGATACTTTTCTATACCCAGCACCTTCTTGGAGAGAAATAATAATCAGGTAGACTGCATAGGATCAATAACTCACATAGCTATTGAGAAACAAATCCAGGAGGAATCTTTCTCCTGTCTTTTCTGTATATCAACATATATAATGTTGAAAACCAAGGGATTTATTTCCAAGAATTTTTATAACCCCCTCCTGATTCATCCTTTAAAAGGAAAAATAAATAAATAAAATACTGATAGCATGGCTGTCTGTGTTTTTATAAAAATGCCTTTGACTTCCTTCCTTTAAAAGAAAAAGAACTGCATTGTCTGATATATCTAAAATCAAACAATTTTAAGACAGGGTCCTACTGCTATAACTTTCAGACAGGGGGAAAAAAAATACAGGCAACCATTCACATCAACTTCTAATAGAGTGTCCTATTTTTTAAAGTATTATGTAGGTGTATCCTTTTTAATTCTGTACTCATAAAAATATTTTTAACAACATAGATGCCAATATTATTTAAAAATGGAAGGCCAAGATTTGTGTTCCTTTTAGCTGTATTACTGATGGGGTTACAGTTACCTTTGTAATTAACTTTGAAGCCAACTGAGCCCACACTTTCATCAGTCTGAAGATGCAGCCACATCTGATTGTTCATGCTAACAATTAAATCCGGCACAAAGCTTCCTGTTAACCTAATCATAAACAAAATAAAAAGTCCATTAGCTGTAAATTGGCTTGAAATAAAGCAATATTAAAAAGCAAGCAGAGAAGTTGATTATAGCACTCTAATTTTTTTACAGCTAGAATTTCTTATCATTGCAGTACTTCAAAAACAACCAGCGAGAAGAGAAGAGAAGAGAAGAGAAGAGAAGAGAAGAGAAGAGAAGAGAAGAGAAGAGAAGAGAAGAGAAGAGAAGAGAAGAGAAGAGAAGAGACTAATCAGGGAAGATTACTAGCTGAAAATCTTTTTGTTCTCCATAACTGAGTAAAGGCATGTGCAATATTTTAGACCCAGCACCACCGGATGGCGCTCTTTATTTCTCTCTCTCTCTCTCTTTCTCTCTCTCTCTCTTTCACATAAATTAGACTTATTAAGGGCAGCTGTCTATCAGGTACCTGTTGACTAACAACTTTACTTAAAGGTATATTATCTTTATGGCACAGCATGCCGATGATTAAGTCTTGCCACTGACACAGAGTTCAAAAGAAAGCTGTTCATTTGGCAAGGTAAGAACAGATTTTCATCAAAATTGTAATCAGAGAATCACAGATTTTCATTGCTATCACATTATTACAGTAGTACCCAAGAGATTCAAATGAGACTAAAATAATGAAGGTTGATGAAGATGTAAATTATACTATATTCTGATAGGCTTCCTGTTCATGGTGGCTTCATACATCAGACAGTCATAACAGTGTTCAATTTCAGCTTAATATGCCTTTGAACCCAATCATTGTAATTTGCATACCATGCTTTAAGAGCTAAACACTATGGGTTTGCTTGCTATGAAGTCACTCTCTTGGACTCTGTAAATGCAATGCGATAGTACCAACAGCACTGTGTTGATCCGGCAAAGTTTTCTTCTTTCATTTTATATATTAACAATGGATCAGAAAGATTGCAGTTAATTAAACCATATATTTACTATTTGAATTCAATCTCCCTAAATAGCAAGACACTTCACAAGTATAAGTTACTGCATATCAGTTGATGTAGATTAGTATCATTTCAGTATGGATTCATACAGAACAGATACTAACAACATTACTGAGCTAAAAGAACCTAACTGAAATTGTTTTAAACAATATCCCAACATGTTGAAAGCAATATATCATTGTCAAAGCACCTTGCAAATTTGTTTTGTAAGCACAGATTCTGGTATCTCCAGATAAAAAAGAGATGGATATGCTTTTGATGGCCATGGCCTGCTTTGAGTGTCTGAGTGTCTGAAAACTGCAGTGTATAGGCAATCATAAAAAGCGAGTGGAACCCAATTATCCTCCTCCTCCTCCACCTCTTCCACCTCCTCTTCATTATTAGTATTATTATTCTAGAAAGTTTATAGATTTTATTTTTAAAGTATCAAGCAGATTTTTGACAATTTCTTATCTCAAAATGGTAGGGAAACATGCCACCGATTTTCAACAATGATAGTGGCCAGATATGGTTCCTGTCACTTAAAAAAAATACTACAAAATATCACATAATAAGGCTCTGACACAACTTGCACACAAGTGGAAAATATTGAGTTTGATCTTCTTATGTTTAATATTAACATCTGTATTTGAGTGCCACTAAAAAGTAGATCTGGAATTAGATGGAACGTGGGTTCGGCTCAGAGGAGGGGAAGGTAATATTGAGCCATTATAGAAAATATATTTGGATCTCTGAGAAAGTAGAAAGTATGAGAAAGAAACTCAAGCCAAGTCTGTCTTGATTGTGTTAGATATAAGTTGAAGTAGAGAAGGGCTTTGACAAACTTTTAATGTTCTGTTATAATACCCTAACTGAATTACAGAACATTCCAAGTCTCCTAGTATTTCATATTTCCTGACCTTGCCTACCTATAATGGCTAAGAAAAGTGTGCTACTCTTCATAGTTTCATGTCTATGTACCATTGGAGGTGATAAAACATAAAGCGTTACTCTTAGAAACTGCATTTTTATGAAAATTGTGTCATTGTGTACATTTTTTAAAAAATTAAAACCTAATTAAAATGTTACGTAATAACTTTTTCTAGTTATAATACATTTTAACCAGAAGTTTTAAATATTGTGTGTCTAAGAATGTCTAGAGCTACCATTAGGGTTATGTAAAAAAGAAAAAAAAAGTTAAAGAATTCCTGAATGCCAACAAAGAAATCATTTGAAAATAATTATAATCATATGTTTCCTATATCTAATCTGCCAATAAGCTTTCACTATACAACTTACATTTTATTAAAATCTAAGGTGATACATGGTTAAGATGCACAAATTACATCTATGTAAAAAATAATTAAGCATTCATATTATTTCTACCATGAGCATGCTTATCAGAAAATATCTAACCACATCTTAGACAGAGTGTTCTTGTGGATTGACTTTAATCTATTTTGGATGGCTTTAATGAAGGGTCCCATTCCAGGCTGTATAGAGTAAGCAGGGTATAGAACGAAGAACAGATGTCACATGCGGTGGACAGAAGGTCTTTATTTTTGTGCCAGCTATTGATTCTTATTTACACATTCAAATGATACTTCTACTGATTTTTTTTTTAAAAACAACAACAATAAAAGACAATACAAATGAAAGTTAGAAAGGGAAAAATATAAAGAATAGAAAGTGCAAGAAAAAGAAAAAAAGGAGAAAGAGGAAAAATAAGAAAAATAAAAAAATATTTAAAGAAGTTACTTCCAATCTTTACCACCACAAGTGCAAACAAACTTAGCAATTCTTCACTCCCTACAAGGTTACATGCAAATATCTCTTTTTCCCATAACCCATCCCTTATCCATATGTAAATCCATAAATCATTAACATTTCAGTCCTGGTGTCAGCAAAAAGGCCATAAGGGTTCCCAGAATTTTATAGAACCATGTCTTAGTTTAACCTTGGTCAAACTAACCAACTTTGTATTCCTTCCTTTTGCTTCCAGCAATCTTGATCTTTCATTCATTCAGATGATGTTGTAGGATTTGATCTCTCTTCAGTTTTTCTTTTTCCCATCTCAAAAATGTGTTCAAATGATACTTCTGAATGTGATAATATGGAGTCAACTTCAGAGTGAACTTCCCCCAGGAGAAGTACATTAGCTTACTGTTTCTGCTAGTGAATTTGGGTGGTTCTTATTCCCCTAACATAAACTGTTCTCACAATTCACAACTGTGCCAATGAAGTGGAGTGCTGTATTTAGAGACATCTGGATTCTACTGAACTTGCCAAACTCAAATCAGTTTACAACAGGGACAGGCACTTGAGATCATATGCATTCTTCAGACTTTTTTCCTCAGTTCCCAGATCCATTCTGTCCACAGTTTGTGGCAGGAAATATTTACAAACTGGAGTGCAAAACCTGAAATAGGTTTAGATAGCCTTAAAGAACTGCAGGAACTGTCTATCTTTGGAAGGAAGGTCTTATTAATTACTAAAGACAAATGGGGAGGAAAGCAGTACCAATAAATGGAGTCAAAGATGCTGTTTAGAAATCACTTAACTGGGCAATTCACTGCATTTAAAAAGACCAAACATTTGAGAAGCTCCTTGAACTTTCTGCAACTCACTGTTAGTTCCTTAATAGCAATAATCCAACCTGTTCAAAACTGAGTCTTATTTTACTTTCTACAGAGCTGGTACATCAAAATGTATCCCCTAAGAGTCTCCATTATGTTTGCCTGAATTCACAAGCATATTAAAAAGAGATATATAAATGAATAAATCTTGCAAAACAGATTAAAAATGCCAGTTGGAACATGAAATAACTTTGAGACAGCTATGCTCAGCCTGACAGTACCGTAAATTGAAAAAGATTTTCAGCAAGTTATCTGCACATTTTTGTCTACTATATTTTCTTTATTATAATATAATAATAACTTTACTGTGAAGCTAACAACAATCTGAATAATACTTTGATAAGAAAATGATAGAATGTTAATTTGCATTCATAACAAAACAGTGTAATTTCATCAGTCTTGTTAAATGTATGTCTTGCTTTGAATTGGCCGCTACAAAGCATTAGCATCTTAAACTAGACCAGACATGCTGGGAATGCTTCATATTTATCAAAAGAGAGATTGAGAAGTTAGAGAACAGTGAAATCAGTAAGTAGTGTAAGATTGAATTATAGGAAATGATCAAACTAAAACTGTGTTAATGGAATTTAAAAACTATTGTGATATGAAATCATGACTGGAGTTCTGATTTCTGTTCAACTCACACCTGTACTGATGGATGAAATCATTAATAAGAGATGAATGATGCCTCTCCAATGCCAGTTAGAATCTAAATCACCAAAGTGTTTATAAAGGTGGGTGAAAACAAAGGTGCTTACTCTATAATCATGTATGTGTATTTCGGTAACATTAGAAAGAACAGCAGACAGAGTAGGAACGAGTAAAATGTGCTGGATATGACCTTTTTCCTATTACCAGAAGGATTATTGTTTAAGAATTTGATAGCAAAACGTTTTATGCAATAAACAGAGGAATCAGAACCAAAAATGTGTGAATCAATTTTGCAAGTCAGTTATATAACTTTCCTCACAGATCTAGTGTGCAATGGGCTGAATGCATGATATTCAGAAGAAATATGGTCAGACGACAACGCTAGAAAAACATGAATATAAACTCTATATTTAAGATGTACTAATTCCTGTTATTCTTTCAGAAGAAAAGAGTTTCTGAAAACATAGAGAGGTTGGGGATATAAGTAAGAAGTTTAATACAAATATAAACCAGAAAGCTAGATAACATAATAATTTTGGCTCCCCCCTCTAAGGTCAGAAACTGGTCTGAGAAAGACTTAGTTGATGGTGAAATTCAAGGTCCATTCCCCAAGAGATATTTGCAACATTCCCGTTTGTATCTCTCCATCAGTGGTTATGGCTCTTCCTTAATCTTTGGAGAAAAGGGATCAGTTATCAACCAGGGGGGGGGGGGAAATATGAATGCACTAACAGGTAGATTAACTCTTTGAAAGAACTGTGGGAAAAAAAAATAGAGCAGGTCTTGGCTGCCTTTAAACATTTCAGATAGTTTCTACCTTATACTTAGGCAACCTTCTTAAATGCAATTAGGGAAATTCCAGAACATCCATGAATTTTTACTGTTGTCACAGAAATCGACAGGACCTCAATACTGCTGTTCACCTGAGTGGAGTTTGCTCATTAAGAAATTATCTAACATGGGTTCCCAAAAGTAAGTCTGGCTGTGCTTTCTGTGATTCCCAGGTCTTTGCAAAAATGAGATATTATGGGTGCTCCCTGCATGAAATTGAGAAACAAGGCTGAAATATTCACTTTTTATTTATTAACACAGTATGTAGCTGATTCATAAAAGATTGATACGGAAAGATTATAATGCTTCTTTGCATTTTTTAAAAAAATATTAAAATAAAATAGGCATGAGTTTAGTACACAGTGCAGTGAAACAAAGGATTAAATAGACAATGGACATTATAGTAGAACAAGGAAATACATTTTTAAAGTGTGTGTGTGCGTGTGTGTGTGTGTGTGTGTATCTTTTGAAAATGAGATGCTTTAGAGAACTGAAATCAAATTATTATTATATTATTAGAACGTAAATTTAATTTAATTTAGTTCCAAACTCAGAGGCCGCCCAACTCCTTGATGACTCTGAGCTGCTTACAAATAAAGCAGAAAAACAGCATATTGAGATAGAAATAAAAGAAAAAACAAAACAAAACCTAGCCAAACAGAAAAACAATACATCAAGCCATTCAGCAGATGAACAAATATAATGAAAGGGCCCATCCCAGCCACCCTATCCCAAGGCTTGGGAGAATAGACAGATTTTTAATAGCTTCCTAAATGTCACAGCCAAATCTCTGAGGGACGCTGTTCCAGAAGGCAGGTGCTGCAACAGAGAAGGGATGCTTCCTGGGTCCTGCAAGATGACACTGCTTAATTGGCTGGACCTGGAGTGCACCCACTCTGCTTGATAGTACTAAATGGGCAGAAACAATGGGAGAGAGGCAGTCCCTCAGATAGCCAGGCCCTATGCCCTGAATATCTTTAAAGCACATTTCATTGCACCTGGAAGCCAGCTGGCAACCACTGCAGCTTGAGAAACAGGGGGGTCACGCAAGCATATTACGAAGCCAGTGCAGTTTGCCCAGCAGTGGTGTAACACGGGTGAACTGTGGGACACCCAAACTCTCCACTGCATTCTGAACCAATTAAAATTTCCAGGTGGTCTTCCAGGGCAGCCCCACATAAAGCACATTGCAGTAGTTCAAAGTGACTAAGGCATGCATGACCATGTGCAGAGCCTCCCAGTCCAGGAAAATAGTAAGTAAGAAAGTTTATTATTGTAACAACAGGTCGTAACACAAGATTTATCCATGCAAAAGCGTCCCTAGCCATGGCTGGCACCTGCTCCTTGAACAGGAGCCATGAGTCTAGAGGACCCCCAAACTGCATACCCAGCTCAATTCAGGGGATTTCTGCCCCATCAAGAGTTTTAGGTGGTTACTTTCCAGATCCAGGGGACTCAAAAACCCAGATGCATTCCATCTTGTTGGAGTCATAGCTAATTCCTTCCCATTCAAACCCTCACAGGCTTCAGGTACTAGGTAAGCATCTGAATTGTATCTCTAGTCTGGCCTGGGGCAGAGACATACAGCTGAATATCATTAGCATACCAATGATACTGCACCCATGGTGTTGAACAACCAGTGGCTTCATCTAGATATTAAATAGTAGGGCTGAGAGAACTGAGGCCTGAGGCACTCCACATAGAAGGGGCTTAGGATAGATCTCTCCCTCTCTCCCAACACTGACTGGAACTGGCTTCAGAGGGAGGAACAGAATCGCTGCAGAACAGTTGGCCTTCACTCCCAACCTCCTCTGCTGGTCTAGAAGGATACTATGATTGATGGTATCAAAAGCACTCAAGAGACCCAGACGGCTAAGATGGATCCACCACCTGCATCCAGAGCCCTCGCCCATTGACGAGGATCCAGATGATCCACTTCTCTCATGGCCCTTTGGACCTGAGCACCTACCACACTCAACAATTTTCCCTAAAAAGAGAAGGCTGGAGACTGGATGAAAGTTGTCCAGTATGATCAGGTCCAAGGATGGCCTCTTAAGGAAGGGGCAAACCACCAGCTCCTTCAAGGCAGGTGGAAGCATCCCCTCCCACAAAGAGGCTTTAATTGCTACTTGGACCCAACTACATGCTACTCCTGGGAGGCCATGGCCAGCCAGGAAGGGCAAAGGTCCAGAACATAGGTGGCAAAGCTCAAAGCCACAAGGATCCTGTCCACTTCCTGAAGACTGAAACTCCACCCCGTTATCTAAGAAAAATCATCAGTCAGCTACAGTAGTCAAGAACAAAATGTACATAGCAAACCATTTGTAACATTGTTAGCTTCATTATTAATTATTTCTTCTCAACATCCTTTCCATCCTAGCAGAACAGCGAAACAAAGGCTCAGCTGACATGCAGTGAAAACAGTTCCTTTCCAGCCAATCAAAAAAACTTCTCAATCTAAAAAAGAACACGTCTCCAGCCTAGCTTATATTTTCTTCTGACATTTCATTCTGGGCATCAAAAAGCAACATCTGAACCACAGAAGGATAATTCATGAAGTTTATGGTTATGAACAAAAAAATAGAAATTGCATGCTGAAATTAATGTCTTTTTTTTTTTTACCTGCCCCATTTTCTTCCCCATTCTCTTTTTCATCATATTTCATGGAATGCAACCCTGAAAACAGAACTGTCTCTCGCCACTCATTCTTTAACCAATTTGTAAGCCTGTCTCAGAGTTTTTCAGCTAAAAAGTAGGGTAAAATAAATTACAAGAACTTGTATCTTTATTTTTTTTTAATAAATGCTTAGATGTGAACACATGGGAGAGCAGATTAATTTCATTCTGATGTATGCAGTATCAAAGGCATGTTATAGGAAGTTATTTGATATTGTTTTTATATGATACCAGATCATAAGATTCTGGCTCCTATCCCAGCACCTTATACCCTAAATACATTATTTTATTTTATACTAAGATTTTAGAATATTTCTTTTTTTACAAATGAATATTCAAGTACATACACTATAAGCTTATGGAAACAGGTTGTTGACCCAGCAATATTATGCTGACAGATTTTACTGTCCAAGGAATTGTTCAAGAACAGATTATTCACAGAAGCAGAAGCTTATGGAGTCAACCGTTAAGAGTACTTGTACTAACAGATTTAAACTAGCAAGTACAACTTGTGTTCTACCGTAACAGCTCTAGAAAACAAAATGTCACCCAGTTTTTACTATGCAAAATCCAGGACCAGTGTTCTTGGATAAGGTTTCTTAGAGGCAGCCCAAATTTCTATGGTGGCCAATTCTGCAAGATAATATATAGCTAATTCCTTGGAGGTGTATTAATCTCTTATGTAATTGGTTTACCATTTTGTATTGGAAGATGTGCTCTAGTTGAATTTAGTAGGACAGAGGGATTGTAGGTGTTATTTTTTATATTTTGTCAACTTAAAATGGAGGATTCATTCATACATATTCCTGTAATGTATTATATATTTAAAATATATTGCTTCTGTGCTTTCTGGTCACATATTCGTAATGAAACTGATGATGATAAGATCCAGGACCAACATAAAGATAATGTCATCTATTAATTTCACCTTTAACATTGTTTTGCTATACATTGTCCTGTGAATGTAAAATTTAAATTCATATGTAAAAGCGATGTGAATATTAGGCCATAGAGAAAATAGATTGCTGTTTTTCAATCAGTACTTCTTTTGTGAAACATGAACAAACTATTAATTCAGCAGGATATATTATGGAGACTTACACTTGGAGCACAGTCCTAGGGTCCCCCACTTCTCCTCCATCACCAATTGTTAGGGTATCATAGCCAATTTCCAGGTCAAATTCTTCAAAATTAATCTGAATAACCTAGAATGAAAAATAAATCCAAAAGTACTTACAAACCTACAAGTATTCTTATTTATCAAGCAGACAAATGCACAGAAACTACAATTGGTCTCATCATTTAGAAGTGGAGTTTGTTTTAAGTCTCTCATATTTTATTTATATAATTGAGTCATTCCTCTAGGAGAAAAATCATGGAAGAAAGGGACAATATTTTACCCATGTCATCATGAAGTTTCTAGAAATAAATGCTAGCCTTTAGGCCAATATTCCAATTTAAATGTAGAATTGTTACCATTCTAATAACATGAATTAAATGAAAATGCTAGTGGCAAGAACTTTATTATGCATCAATAATCAAAGCTACAGTATTTCTGTTTTTAACTATATTTCATATAAGCACATTTATTCATGCAAGCTTACAGAATTTATACAAACCAGTGAAACATATTTATTCTCAAATAATAAAAAGCAGATCTGATCTCATACGATATATTATATGAAAGCAATATGATCATTTAACTTCTGCAATTACTATAATAAATAAATATTATATTCATTTAAAAACTTTGTTTTATATAATGGCCTTCATTTGGAGATTAACATTTCTCTGATAGAACTCAGAATCCATAAAGGAAATGAATCTATTTATATTTATATCATACCTGGGGGTGTCAAGGTGATCCTACATTTTCAATAAATAATTGAATAATTCAATCTTGTTGTGCTTTATCTGAGGATGGTGCATTAGATTTTTATGACCTTTAAATTCCAAATGGAACAAATTCCCATCCTTGGACAGACATAATATATTTGAACCTACTCCATTCTTACTGTAGATCTACATTTCCACTCTCAAAAGGTTTACATGAACCATTAAGGCACTCCAAATAGTGTTGTCATGATAGCTATGGCCAAAAGTTGCCCAGTATGGCTGGCAGTTCAATTGTCAAAGGGAGCAATGGCATTAGGACTGGCAAGATCATTAACTTTACCATTTGTTCCCATAAATGAATGCATAACTGGAAGAAAGTACATTTACTGAATGCTTGTAAAGTGAATAGGCTTAAATCATGGAATGTTTTTCTTGAATATTGAGTGGAAAGTTAATTGATGAATAAGAGGGACAATGGTGGAAATAAAACATGCATGAGAATAAATGGCATGCTCAGCAAATGGTTCAAAACTGAGCATTATTTTAAACATGACAAACAGTTATGCAATGCAGGTGTCACATAATGTGGAATGTTGACAGTGTGTTATGTGCACTCTGAAAAAAAATAGCTGCTGGTCAGAACAAAATAAAAAAACAAAACGATTGGCAGAAGGTGAACTGGAAAAGTTGATTCCTGCTACTCTTTCAGCCTTCTGGTAGGATCTCTCTTGGGATAAACCATATTTGCTAATTTGTGAATGGAATATTCCTGTTTTGCATGGCACAGTTTTGCATACCCCTCACTGGGTACCACATTGGTGGTTGTTTTTTCTTCTTCTTCTTCTTCTTCTTCTTCTTCTTCTTCTTCTTCTTCTTCTTCTTCTTCTTCTTCTT